TTCACAAATGCGTATGTGTGCGTGCACGACAACTTCGCTGTTATTTATGAGTTTATTGCATTATGGTGGCGTGCGCAATATTTCTCTTTTACTTTTACTTTTGTTTTATTATAATTTTTTCTTTAATATTCATGGTGTTGTTTTTGTTTGTCTGTATGCGCTTGAAAGACACACAATTACATTTATTTCACAGCAGTTGTGATCTTTGCCTTCATATAGACGTGTTAATCACAATTGGGTTTGCACGTTTCATTTCGTTTTTTTTCTTTTTCTTTTTTTTCTCTCTTATTACGTTTGCCTTTCTCAACTTATTTCGCGTTCTACTGTTTTCTTCGACTGTTGGTTGTTGCTTCGGGTGTGTTATAAGTAATGGTGAAATTTTAATAAGATGTCGTGCACTAAATGAAAATTGGAAAAACATTTTCATTACGAAAATGTCTGACACCAGGTGGGCGGTGAACACGTGTGCGCAGTGGAATTGTAAATTGTGAAATAGGGTGTGGTATACAGAGAATTGTGAGCAGATTGAGATAATTTTCAGTTATAAAAAGATAGTTCAAAGATGCTTAACAAAGCACGTAACCATAGCAACAGACTCTTTGGTGCTAGAATTCATCAATTTGCCAGTGTGATTTCGAGTTTAAGCAAGAAGTTAAAGCAGTTAACTCAGTCTAATAGGATGAATCACAATATACATAATTTCAACACAATTAATATTTTCGGTCGATTCACACAATTTAAAGTTTCAATACTTACAACGTTAATGAAATTTATGTTTATATATGCTGCTTTGAGTATCAATACTACAAAATTGCTGCTATCATTCTAGTAGTTTTGTGAGACACTGCATTGTCCTGAAGAAAAATATTTGTTTTGTTCTTTTAATGTTGTGGCATTTCTTTGTCCGAATGTTCCAATAATAATATGAACACTATGTAAATTTTTTGAAGATAATCGATAAAAATTATTCCATATTCATACCTAAATATACCATCCAAACAATTTTGACTCTGACTGGTCCATTTAGACTTCGAGCGCAAACCGAATCGTTAGAAAAAAATTTTTCTAGATTTCTACGACCTTTTTTTATTTTTGTTTGAAGTTTGATATCCATATATCAATTAGTGTGTGTTTGGCAGCTCTTTGTTTACGACGCCAAAATAGCCATTTTTACCATGAAAAATGTTCAACAACAAGTTTGCTCGAAATTTGGTGTTTCCAATGAGTGAGCAAGTATCTGCTGAGGGTCGACTGTCATGACAGGAGATTCTCCATACGTTTGACGAACCATGGACGAGAAAGTGTTCCTAGGAAGACGTCTAAGTAAGAAAACAAATCTCCTTGAACGGACCTATATATTTAAAAGTCTGTCCTTTCTGTCATTCTATCCATTTCAATAATCGTAAATCACATTTTGCCTAATTGCGCTATACTTGAAATCCATAGGCACTCAATGATTTTAATTACACCGACATGATAGTATCTCTTATTTATAGACTCCCACCTCCTTCGACAAAACTGACCTTGACTAACTCTGCTTTTCAACCGAAATCTTTTGATGTTAGCGCTACATATATATGCTACACTTTATTTTTCTATATTTACTAAATATTAAATTAAGTTTTGGAAAAACACTGATTTTAAACTTTTTGCAGCAACACTGATTTAAAATTGTAGAAAACTTAAATTTTATTTTCATTTCAAAAGCAATAACGTTTCAAATTCTATTTCATTTAGGTCAATCATTATATAATATTGCTTTTGATATTCACATCAAAACAGTGAAGTTTTTTATTTATGCCTTTAGTGCCTGAATTTAGGCAAGTGTCGAATTTCACACAACTCGCGAAAAACTATTTGCAAATTATTTCCAATGCACAAATTGGTGCTATAAAGTTTGCTTGCGCTTAACTTTGACTTTGTTGTGCGAGAAAGTTTTGTGAAATTGTTTTTGTGGGTTTAATTTCACTCGAACGGTACTTTGGCATATACTTGTGGTTGTACTGACCTTTTTGTTTTGCGGTTGGAAAGTTGGAAGTGAGTTTTTCCTTGCGTGTTGATGGAATTGAGCTCATAGTTTTTGGACGATATCATATTTACTTAAGTGATTAAAATAACGCTTCGGAATTTACTAATATTATCAACAACGTATTAGTACTAAGTTAACACTCTGATTACCATGCTCCATATTCTTTAGCGCTCACTTACTATATTTGATAAATCAGCCTAAATGTAGGCCATCAATAAATTTAGCAGAGACACATACCTATCAAAGCTAAAATAAAGAAATCATCTATGGTTTGTACCTATTACGTTTTGGAAAATAAAACTAAACCAATATGCACTTTTCCTTTCATCTTCTCATTCATTCATCAATTACATTAATGACATACAAATTAATTACAACAAAAAAGGCAAACAGATTTTCTTTTCTGCAACCGAAGCATGCAAACTTATTAGACTAATGATATTTCAATTTGTTCATAATTTGGTGCAATAAAAATATGAATGTCAAACCAGTCAACAGCGAAAAGAGAGAAGCGAAAACTAAGGAGAAAAAGAAAAAATGAATGAACTTCTGCATTTTATTGCCGCCAATGGCGCATTTACACAAACCACAGGCGAGAGCGGTAAACTGTTGCAGATGATGATGGAATTGTGATTGCGACGATGTTGCTGGCGCCGAGTGTCTGCATTTAATGTGAAATTTCATAGTAAGTAATTAAAATGCAGTTATGTTGGCTGGCAGAGACGACACTGATGATAGCTGACAGGCAGCAGATATATTCAAATATTGCCAGTTGATCGTTTGGTTTGTGAGCGCTGCGCCACAGTGAATGAGAGTTTGTCAAACTGACAGCATGAGTGACGATTCAAATGACAATTAAGTTGATAGACGATGCGACGACTGACTGTTGTTTCGGGTCGTATGAGATATTTATATAGTATGTGATATGCAAAATATTGCATGCAAATATTTTTATTACTTTAGCACTTTAAGTTGCAAATTGAAACTTTTTTTTCAATTATGGGGAATATGAGAGAACTTTTATAATTTTTTTTAACTTTTATTTGAGCAAATGCTTTTTAAGATAAAATTTAAAATGTCTATTGAGGCGGAAGTTTTACTTTGAAAATTTTTAATTTTTCAATTATATGAAATTATTTTTTTTTGGATATTATTTTCGAAATAAGATTGAGCTCTATTTTGGCTATTATAATTAAGGAAATTTTTTTATTTCTGTAGCGAACAGTCTATTGCCTGCATATCGGAGCAGATCGAAAATGTTTTTTAGTCAAATTTCTAATAATGGTTCTAATTGTTTGTGAGGTAAAGTAATCGTAGGCAGGTTTATGTCATGATATTAGTTTGGACACTAGTCCATATACGGTTAAAAGGTATACCGCAGTCCGCCCTTAATGTTTTTGACTAAATTATTTCCTAAGGGAACAGAGTTGTGCGCCGCAATTGGAATTTATCACGACAAAAGACTATTCCAAACAAAGCTTCCGACAGTTTCCGAATTCAATTTCCCTTCTTGGCTAAAACTTTCCACGTTTTCGAAATATCTAAAGCGGTCTCATACTTTTTTAATAATTGAAAATTAGACTCTTTTAAATAAATTAACCCCTTCCGAGAATTTAAGAGCTGAATCTGCAGCAATCTGGGGAAATATCGAATTTATAGAGCGTGAGATAAACCGTCGCTCAGTTCAATATATCAAAATATTTTAATATCACATCACTATCTTAATCTGCCATCCGTAACATAAAAACCTTGTTCACTGTCGGAAGAATATTTTCCCGAAAGTTTTGGCCTAATACTAATCTGAAAGTTTCGAGACTAGGAACTATAGGTAAATGAGGAATTTAAGACCCCTCGTTGATGGAAAAACTTTTTTTTCCTCCGCATAAAAACCGCGGGCTTTTTAGTGAGCCACGGAAAGGTGGAACTAATAGCACAGAATTTTAAACCGATTTAATTACCTACATCAATTTTTTTTTCTTAAGAAGAGTGGAACTAATGGTAATAGATACTTCAGTCGCCTTATGGGAATTCATCATTAATTTTTTTATAAGAATTCTCTATTCAGAAAATAATTTTTCATTTCCAAATAGATTTTTGCTTCCATTTTGCATCACTGAATGAGACATAAAAGATATTCCCTTCACAACTCAAGACACACTGCGTAACACTAATATTATCTTTAATATAAAACTGGCTGCATAAAATCTAGAAATAAAGCCTTTTGAACAATAAAATCTACGCCCATGCCAAATAGCATTTACGCCAATAAAATGCAAAGTTTCGTCTTAATTAAATGCCAAATGGCAAACGCACCAACCGCAGTTGGCAATAAGAGCAGAAATTCACTGACCAAAGACCACATTAACATTCCGGTAAGACTAATAAAAGTACTAAATGAGAACCAATAAAAAACAGACATGACAGCAAAGCTATACGCACACACAAACACACAGAAATGGAGGTAAGAACTGAAGAGTGCTGCAAAATGCGTAATTTCTACGCACAGCAATACAAACTGAATTGCCATAGCAGAGGGCAAAGCGATGAATGAGAGAACGGCGAATGTGAAAAATGGAATTTCCAATCAGTAATCCGTTGCTTTAAAGTGTCAAGTGATTACAGAGCCACTCCAACGCCCGACGCAGGCGAAGCTGCGGCATAGACAGTATAAATAATACGAAGAAATTGCATAAATTTCATGCGCTGAGTGATTGAGTAGAAAGAACAAATATTTTGTAGGTAAACATGCCGCGTGGTTGCTTAGTAGAGCGTGGCGTAGCATACTTTACGGCGCAACATAGCAACGGTATTAGATATGGAGCACACAGCAATTGCAAAAATCGTGAATGAAATACGAAACCAAGAAAGATATTTATAAATACAAACATACTTACAAACGTGCACGTATACATACATATATTAAAGTATACACATATACAATACATAAAAACACAAATATAGATATACTTACACAGCGCTACATAGACATATATAGGTGTAAATTGCGAATACAAATGCACGTCCAAACATAAACAGCAGCGACCGTGTACGTAGTCACGATTATTTGATTTGCTTACATTCTTTTGGTGGCGCCGCTATGCACCGCACACGTTCACCGCATAACACCACGCCGCTTAACACTCCACCAACCCGCTGTGCGTTGTTTATTTGTACACGATTTTATTTTCTACGTTTCGCTTTTATTTCCTGCTTTGAGTTTTGTAGATTTTTGCGATGAGTGGGCGAATGTCTAGCGCTCACTGTGTGTGCCCGTTTAGCTATCGCTTCACACATACAGTCACATGCAGAGGCTGATCAAATTGATATTGGTTTTGTTTTTCCTGAATTTTAGTTTATTTCTTTTGTTTTTATATATTTCTGCACACTTTCTTAATTCTATATGAATTTATATACATATATTTGTAGTCACATTATACATGAAAAGCAACAAAATAAAAAAGCAAGACTCCGACACCCGCACTCGAGCCAGCGCATTAACTTTGTTTTAAGTTAAAAGCATGATTTAAAGAATCAACAGTTAAAACTACCGTTTAATATCAAAGCAAACACATTGCTTCGCACAAAGCTCTAAAACACAAGTAATGCATCAAGGTCTCGCGATTACAAAAAAAAATTCTCAAAAATAGTGAGATATTTTTTTTTACTCTTTTTGTTTATTTATAATGCTTTAAAGTATTTAACATTCTGTATTTCCACATTTCACTTCATATTTATTTTATTTTTTCTGTACACAACTTTTCACTAAACACCAAAAATGTATTTCGTATTTGTTTATATTTTCGACATTCGCAAATAAGTTTGCCTTAAAAATAATGTACAAATATATATTCGTTTGTTTGTTTTTACATATACATATATATATTAATATATATGAAGTTTGTATTCTAAAGTACGCGCAATATATTCCGGCTCAAGCGACTCTCTTTGTGAATATCCGGCGAAGCACTAAGGATAATTTCGACTAATAGCAAACAGAGTCCTTGGCATTAAAGCTTTTGTATGAAGTGCGAGGCGACGAAAATAACGAAGATGTCGAGCATAAAACGAAACTTTGACGTCATCAAAATAAAGAGCAAACCAAGCAAAAGTCGAGAGAAATAATTTGAGAGATTTAACTAACGTTCACTGTGAAGCACAGAAAGCATATATGTGGAAACGAAGAGAGAGGTAGAGAGATTGAGTGACATTGGGAGAGTGAACTGCAAAAACAAAACAATAGCAGGTGTAGTAGTTATACAGAGGGTGGCTGGTAAATAAAGGGTGGATTATAGGTGTGAAAATTGCATTAAATGTAAGCACTCTTTGAAACAATTTCGGAAAACATATGGTTCTTACTACGTAATCAAAATAACATAATAAAAAACATAGTTTAAGTCATGGCTAGACGAAATTTATTCTCGGCGCCGAAATGTAGGCAATACATTTTTGATTTATTTGTTATTGTACTTTTAAGGCATGATATGTGGTGATTATATATAGAACTTTAAGCCATAATTGATATACAAAATAGGTATATATAAAAAATTATAATTACAATTATTTCTTGTCGACATAAAGGGAGTTATTATTATGTTGATAAGAAATAATTATATATTATAATTAAGTAATCATTAATAAAACTGAATACACCTTTTTCAATAATTTTTCTTTACTTTATTTATTTTACTGGACATTAAACCAAATATTATTCTTAAAATACACTTCATGTAATCACTTTATGGCTCAGAGTGGTTATTTTGGCCTGAAACTGATAATGATTTCTCACGTATAAGAGTCAATTCAGAGATTTTACAATAACTCTCTCTTTGGCGGCTCTCTCAGCTCAATTACTTTCGCCACAACGTACTATGTGCATACTCTCAATATTTCCTAAGTTGGGATAAATTACAGTCAAAAAAATTGTAACCCAAAATTTTCTGCAATTGTTTTGATTCTAGAACCATATGTACCCTAGGTTGTCAAATATATAAAAATACATAGTAATCTCTAATAAAATGTAAGTACTGAAATAATTTTGTAAAAAAGTTTTTCAGTTCATCGCTTCTGGAAGAGGTCAAAAATAAAGCTTTCGTGTTGGATGTCGTGTAATCGAAAAATTTTAAAAATTTCTATATAAATTACGTATTTAGTATGCGAACCCTTAACCGCAGAATTTTAGAGTATGTTCTTTGACTACATTTAAGTGAAGTCAAATATATAAATATAATAGATATAAAATTGTACCCTAACTACCCGAAAGATTCGGTTAGAATTAATATCTTGAGTATTTTAAAATCAAATTAAAACATATAATACTAAATGGTAGATAGTCTTGTTTAAAAAACAATTATCACTCTTCTAATCTCCAAACGAACTAAAAAATTAATTGGAAATTTCCTCAGTCAATCTACATACATCTCTCATATATTCTGTAAGCTATAGCTCCGCTCTGCTTCTACGTTTATGTGAGCTTCATCACCAGCAGTCACCATAAATTTACCAGTCATGCAATATTTATTTATGTACACCTGTAGCTTGTACAATCGTTGAAAAGGAAACAAAACACAGTTGAGAGAAAACACTCTCACAATTTAATACAACAAAAAAATTACCTTCACTTCTCTGACTTGCTCTCTTTTACTTCGCATTAACCACGCTCATGCGCATTTGAATATATATATATATCTCCGTTATGATAGAACTGTCAAAATTGTCTTCATTTGTTTACTTTTTATACAATTTTATTTCAGTCAACTTGTTTACTATATCCTACCAACAGGAATACTCCAACACCCACTCGTTTCCTCTTACCCAGTGGCAACACCCAAAGCTCATACCGCCGCCACGCTGAACTCTTCACCAATTTCACCCACACAGCGTACTACGTTTTGGCTGCAGGCACTTTTAGCCCTTTTTCAAACTTGTCAACCTTGCTCGCGTTTTTGCGCGTTCTCCCATTCGCGAGGTCGCTTATACTGGTACATTGCCTGCGGCTTGTTGGCGTAAGCTAACTCGTGCTTGAATTTGTCATTTTTTACGCTACTTAATTTAATCAAAGGCTAATGCTTTTTTATATGTGTGAGTGGTTCAGTTTTTTCTTGCTTATTTTGGTTTCAAAATGGGTTTAAAAAATGTAAGGAACTCGCTTAGTGGAATGTCAGTTGGTCATTTATTAACTTGAACGTGTTTGATTTTGCGAGAAAAAATATTAATTTCTTCACATGTACATAAATATATATATGTACATATAGTATATAAAAATTACTTGCCACGTTTTGTTCAGGGTAAGCTCCTAAACTACTGAACCGATTTTAGTAAAATTTAGCAAACTGTTTACAGTTTAAACCAGCATACAAGATAGCATAGATTATATCTCAACTATGTGAAAAGTCAAAACAATTCATTAATAAAAATATATTTCTAAACATAAGCATGTGTTATTATTATTATTATAATTTTCAATAATATAATATTGTATATATATACTCGTGTATAGTTTGTATAAGGAAAAATTTTGAATTCTATTAAAAATTGTTTGTGTCCTACCTTATTATCCGGATTTAGTTCACGCTAATGCTGGAAAGAGAAGAAAGAAATCAATTATTTGAAGATCATATTAATAATGAATGTTTCATTCGTATATTATATATTATAAATATGTAATGTAATGCTATATAGAGCAAATACATATTCTTCCTAGACAAAAGACTTAAACTAATATATGCATAAAGCTATTTTCGATAAAAACTGGCTTTTAAGACGATCGAAGCCAACATAACATTTGATTAAGGCGGGATTACACTATCATATTAAAAAGTTAATTTAAATAGTTGTAATTAATGTACATGACTCCAACGGCACATAGTGGTTACTTCGGAGCATACAGTCTAATCTGTTTAGACCAGCTCAGGTCAACTTCGTTCAATTTATAATAAGTCGCCGAATTTTATCAGTCTTTTCTTAAGACGTTACATGGGTTTCGTCGAGCAAAAAACGCCCTATTTTCAATAATTTTTTTTTATACAAAAAATTAAATACTTTACTAAAACTTTTTATTATTTCAAAAATACATATTTGAAAAAGATTCTGTGAAATTTTCAAAGGGAAATATTCCAAAAAAATTCATTACGATGTCATTTCCGACAATCCTTCGGAAAAAAGGTGCTTCCGCGTTGACAGCAGAATTTCTGACAGGATAAGTGACTATATTGCGGACCTCGAGCGCGCATGTTTTCAAAGCTGTATCTCCGAAACTTTTACTAATAGGACAATACTCTAAATATGTTATAGAATAAAATAAGACAATACAATTTTTTTTGAAGCCGTGAAACCCATATAACCCCTTAATAGAGTTTTTAAACCAAGCTTTCCAATTGCTTTAAGAATGCCCACCTTCTTGTAACGGCTATTAGTGCCTAATTAATTGCATTACTATTTTCGAGTTCTTACTATTTTGGGAGTTCGCTAACTGCCTAACTACATACTATGTTAGTCTGCTGAGTCTCTTTCTATCACGATAATTCCGGATGTATGAAAATACAATGAGGAACTAAGTTACTCAAAGGCTTCGGGTCACACGACTACGAGTTTATTACTTATAAAAAATTAATTGCTCTTAAGGGCTCGGCAAAGCCCAAAGTTTTTAGACACAAGGGACACAAGATATATAATATTTTCAGTACTTGTATACTGAGTACAACTTTCAAATCAAATTCTTACCAAAGCATAGAATTGGCAGAAGTCTGCGTGCGAGCGTTCTCTGCCGAAAGAAGAAAACATCTAGAGCAGCTTGAACGGAGACCCACAAACTTAGCGGTTCGATTTCAGTATACCATTAGGTCGTGAACCACATTTAGTATGCCAAATTAAAATTATTGTGACAAAATATTTTCTTTTATCGCGAATGAAATATTGCATATTCATATTTATAACAATAAAAGATCAATGAATTACTATTCCTTAAAAATCTAAACATTTATGAACATTTTATTTCATAATTCAAAATAATCTTTGATAAATTATTTATGAACCGTATTTTCTAGAAAAATAGATAAAGAATATTTCTTTAAATTTCGAATTGAATATGCATTAGTATATACATATGTGTGTGCTCGTACTAACGCCATAAAAGCTCTGAATTATTGAAAATAAAATATGCTGGTGCATGACTTTTCAAATCAACCTGAAATGTGATTTGCAAAATTTGATGATATCAAAAGTTTATGTGTCATTTCATATATACAAATAGCTGCATGAATGCAATGTGTGAGGCATTAATGTTAAATTATTGTGTGACAAAATTTAAATTTAAGTCCGTCATTAAGAAAGCAATGGGTATTATTTTCTCTTCAATGCCAGCGGCTTCTCTCTCAGAAATCGTTTTTTATAAAAAAAATATTTTAATATCTGCACATCTTTCGATTTACCTTTGAGTTATATAATATTCATGCTGTATACAATAAATTTGTGACTTTCCTTTTTTATATTTAATGTAAAATTCACTGCAATCGACTCAGCGCGTTACCCTGATCATTTATATACTTTAATTGTATAGGGTTTTAGACGTTTCCTTTTGGGTGTTACAAACATCGTGGCAACCTTGATATACCCTGTTCAGAGTATACCATAAATATAAATTTTTTATATATATTACATAATAGTTCAGTTTCTGGTATTCTGGAAGGCGCATTTACTATTTACAATGTTTATTGCTAAAATTTAAAATTAAAAATAAAAAAATATTTTAAAAAAATAGAAGTTTCTAAAAAAATGCTTCCCGAGTTGACTCTCAATTCTGCATGGAATCACAATGAAAAGAGAAAGTGCAAATCACACTTTCAAAATGTGTCACTGATTTTATTTCAATGCAAATTATCACTTTGCATACTATATGTTTGAAAATTTCTCAAAGCCTTTACCAATTATTTCGCAATAAAGGATAATTATCGAAATGAATAGATGTAGACAA